CTCAACCTTCCTCTGTGAAGTCCTCCACCACTCTCTAATACAAGTCAAAATGACTTCTTCCTCCAGGAAGCTACTTGATTCTTGTTCAGGCCTCTCACTTAACATATAACATATTTAATGCACCTTCAAATTGCTGTTTAACTTGACTAGTGCATGTATCCTGTTCATTGAGAAGTCTAGGAGACTTCAGATGGCAGGACCAAGTACCAGGCACAATGCTGTTTACATTAGCATTCTCTAAGTATCTATTGATAGATTACTATGCAGTGCTTTTTGATGATCCCAGGAATAATTAATACCTGGGAGATAATATAAGTATTTTTCTACTATGTACTAATAAATTGGGCTTATTGATTTTAGGAAATGTTAATAGACTATGATTTAACTAATTTATGACTAAATATTATTTTTTCTCATTGCAGAGCAATGTCATGGTTAGGCCAACCAGGTGTAGATCACTTAAGATCTTGGGCACAAAATGTTGTGAGGGGATTAAATACTTAATAGCAAAGGACTTTGAAAAATATAAACAGGAATGATGAGAATAACATTATTGACATGCACATAATTACACATATATAAAACAATTAAGGATCTACAAAAGTAACGTGGCAGTCTCTTTCGTTCATTCATTCAACAAACTGTTATTGAAAAACCTACTTGTGACAGGTGTTTTAGGCATTGGGGAGCTAAAGTTGAATGAGAAATATCAACCATGCATGTAGGCTCTCTAAAGCAGATCCAAACAGAATCCATCTAAAAATTCATCTACCCATGTCCATACAAAACCATATACACTTGGTTAAGTGCATAAAAACATTTTATCTCATTGCTTTAAGCAATGCAATTAGTTTTCTTTGGCCTAAATATCAGCAAACTTAAATTATCCTAGAAACTCCTTCAAAGACATTGTTTTGTTTCTGTTCATTCCCCAAACCCCTAGGTTCCTATGTTTTTGAATTAGGACACAGAGATGTGCTATAAGTTACACAAGGAAACTTGCCCAGAGTTGTGTCTAAACAAAAGTTCATTACCTGCTATGAGGGCAGTGCTGGCACAGTGCTGGTCCCCATTGATTTATGAGCAGCTGCTGACACATTCTTATGCTTCATAAGAGCATAACATTTTCTTCTAAAACTTAAGGCAAAGGCAAAAATAGAATACCTTTATCCAACAACAAAAATGTATATTTAAAATATTGTGGAATAATAATGAGTTGTGATATACTTTTAAAACCAGAAAAAAAGCAGAAAATAATAAGTATCTCCCTATGATCAACTACAATCTTCTGAATGGAACTGAAGCGGAAGTGTTATAGTTTCAGGTAAGCAGCTTTATATCTGAGGCAAGTTAAAATGATCTACCTATTAAATAAACTAAAAGTAAGATGATAGGTTCAAATCTACCCTTTTAGAATTAGAATCCATTTTTAAGTGTGTTTTAAGAAGGAAGAATGTAATCTTTAATAGATCAAGGGGCTTTCATTTAACTAGAAATTCACTAAACCAGGAATCAGTAGATTTTTAAATATACGCAATTAATTTGACAACAAACTTGGCTGTTGAATTTAAATTTTAAAACTAATATATTACTTCTCTGTTCTTGTTTTAAATCAAAAGGATTTCTTCTGGGACTTCAAAGGCATGAGCATTTAGCCTATCTCATGGAGGAAGGAGTGATTTCTAATCTTTAAAAACAGGAGATTTGCCTATATGATCACCTGGGACAAACTTGGCCAGTACAAGTAGGCTAGAAGGTTATAGGAGCCTGGGAATGTTTAACATCAAGAAAGAAATTACATACAGCTCAGTAAGATCACAGGGAATTACACAGGAAATGTGAACAGTAACCCTTTCATATCTCTGTACACCCCTCCCACTGCCTGTGATAAATGGAGTCCTGCTGCATGAAATCCAGCTATGGGAATACAGAAGCCAACAGCAGAGGGGGACCGGGGAAAAGAAAAAAAAGAAAACTTTATATATACACACACAGTACAACATAAATTCATAATGACATAAAATCACGTTGCTCCAAAAACAGCCTTAGCCTTTCTTATTGCCACGTATTCACTGTATCACTGCCTTATCCAACAGAGCCTTAAGTAAAAATTCCAAAGAAACTTGAAGAATCGGGCGGGGGTGGGGGGTAGAATAGTTGGCGGACTCATGGTAAGTAGGAAAACGTGGCTCCTCTGAAGCTGACCAAACAAACTGGTCTCCACCCTGGCTTATGTTTAAACATCTTGTTCCTAGTCAGTCTGGAGGGAAAACATTCCTTCCACAATAAATAATATGCAATCGAATCAGAAATTCTTACTCCAGCCTGTCTACTCGATGTAACAGTTTCTTCAGTACTGTAAGCCAGAAGCTGAGAGAATTCAACTGATTATGAACTTTTTGTTTTAAGAGTAACTTAGTTATAGTCAAGACAAGTTAAAATATTTCTAGTTGCTTATTTGGAAAAGCAAATGTGACTGTGCAGATCCTAGACTCCTTAGAGAACCCTGGTTGAGATCTCAAGAAAATAAGCTTCTCTTAATACAACTGCTACTGGAAAAGGGGAAATTCTCAGCTTCTATAAATAGGTGAGAAAGATGAAAAACCCTTTATAATCCTCAGAGAATAAGGGCATGGGTATCCAAATAAAATAAAGAAAAATGTGATTTTTCCAATGGACTAAGTTTAAAATATGGAATGGAATTTCAAAGTTCCTTTGAAATAAGATTTAACTTTTCCCATTGGTATAACTTCAGGATAGAGATGTTCTGCTACAAAGAGTAGGTCAAGAAATAAATGGAAGTGAGGACAGAGACCACAAAGCAAAACACCAATTAAAATGAAAAGGGTAAGCTTTTTAGAACTATCGAGAGAGGTAACAATAAAACCAAAGGATTTTTCCCCAGCAAAGTGCCTCCTCCAAAGCATAGATATATCTTCTTCAAGAAATAGCCTATACCTGTAGTGTTTTTGTACAATAAATGGCACATCACTCAAATGTCAACTGAGATTTCAATTGTAGACTTCCTAGTCACCTTAAAGCTAAAGGATTGATGTCTAATTTCTGTAGCATTGGCTCACTGATAGGCAGTCCAAGGACTCTGTGACAAGTTAAAGGTCCTGCTCTTTCCATGGATTTAGAGTTGCTACAAAATTTACATTAGGAAAAACATTAGCAGAATGAGAGGAAGCAAAGTAATAAACAAAAACTTCCAAATAATAAACCAGACTTCTAATTGGGGTTCTAACCATGGAGCAGTTCCCCCATTATAGTGTGGACTCTGAAGTGCACCAAATGGAAACTCAATGGAGCTATCTCCTCATCTGGAAACAAGAGTTCACTTTCATTGTTTTTTTAAAAATGTTTTTATTGATTTTTAGAGAGAGAGAGGAAGGGAGAGGATAGAAAGAGAAAAACATCATTGATCAGCTGCCTTCCACATCCTCCCCCTCCCCACCACCACTGGGGATAGAGCCCAAAATCTGGGCATGTGCCCTGACCGGTAATCGAACCAGTGACCTCTTGGATCCTGGGTCTACACTCAACTGTTGAGCCACACTAGCCAGGCCTTTTAGTGCTTCTTAACCATTTTGAACTCATGTCTTGTTCTGTTAAGCATAAAAACTTCATATCCTCATTGTATATTGAGATTTCAAAGTAATTTAAGTATTACATAACCAAAAAGAAACTATAGCAAGATAATTTTTGTTTTTCAAACAATAATCTAGTACAATAAAATTATTAGAAAATACTTCTAAAAGTAGACAGATAGTAATTAATACTTTATTGTTATCTTAAAAACAAAAGGTAAAGAATATCTATAAACACTAATGATGATAACCAAATGTTAACTGTTGGAACCTTCAGCATATCTCCTCTCATGGAGAAGTACTATAGATAATGTTTTCAGTTCTTACATTAGGCTTGAGGAAATGCTGATTGATACATAGAATTAGGCCTTTAATTTTTGTTAACTGATCCAGCAAAAAGCTCTCTTTTCTTCTCTGAAAATAACAGAGCCCTAATATAGTGTTCTCTTTCAGGTAATAAAGGACAGAAGCAAGCTTTGTAAGTCTTCAGTACAGAGGCCATAGTAAGTAAAAGATGCAAACTGTAGACAGCCTTGACAACAACTGTGGTAATAAAAACAGCAAAAATATCAGCTAACATTGCACATTTGTATAGCGCTTTGCAATGTATAAAATACTTAATGTAATTTCAACCCTGCAGCTTTATAAGGTGGATATTATTTTATTGAAGTAAAATGGCTTTTTCAAGGTTACCCAGCTAATTACAAGTAAGCAGCAGAACTGTGATTTAAACCTTTCTGACAGCTATCCCATTCATTAAAATATCAATTTTGTCATGTAATTTTGAAATATCTTCATACAAAGTCCAAAATCAGGGTATACAAAATAAGCACAAATTTTTTTCTCTCAACTCACCCAATATCACTTCCTTTCTACCAATTCCCATAAAAATTCTCAGAGTTCTCCTTGCAGCAACCTTTATTTCCTCATACCAGTATGACTAAGGGCACAATGAAAAGCATCTTTCAAAAACAAACCTCTTTCCTCCTAGATCTTATATCCTATAATGGTTCCCCCAAACAAGAACATCATCACAGGCTTAGGTTTTTAAAAGCAGTGACTACTGAGGAAATGTCTGGGGTTGTCTTTTCTTCATGTAGAATGAGTCAGATATGACAAAAATGCCTCCACATTCCTAAAAGGTGAGCAGGAGTCACCCTCTTATTCCCAGCCTTGTGGCTTAGCAAAGATACTCCAGGGACTTGGTAGAAAAAGGCCGAGGTCATGTGAATAACAAAACTAACAGAACTAGAAGTTACATTCCTAACAATTTTTAAATCATTCTAAATTTTTTATTTTTTTGAAAACTTATTAAAGGATGATAAACTACTGGCATTAGCAATTCAATGTAAATGTGAGATAAAATTAAGGTAAATTTTTATTCATATAAAATGAATATAGAATACTCACCTATTTCAACAAAAGGTTGCTCCCACCAACCCAATGCCAACGGGAATCCTCAATCTGGGCTGTGGTAAAAAGAGGAACTTTAAGTGAACAATTTGCAAACTGGGGGGAAGCAGCCTCTGCTGAAAATCAAAAGCGTGCTTCACCAAGACAAAGGGGAGGACACTTTTTATAGAGAAGTTCCTGCTCTAGTTCCCAATTGGTTCATTTTAATGCAAATGAGAAATCCAAACAGCATAGTTCTGATTGATTCAAATAGCACTGTCCTAATTGGTCAGCTTCATGCACTCCAATTGGTCATTATGGAGCTTCTCTGATTTGTCAGTGCAAATGCAAATGAAGATACAGTTGTGCACAGTTCCAATTGGTCGGGGCAGGTCTCAGTGCATTGGTTGAAAGATGATACCAGGAGCTCCCTTATACAGGTCATATCAGACAACAGGAGCACAGTTCAGGAGGCTTGGAAGCTCAGTCTGTGGCTTTTCCCTGAAATGCAGCCTGTGAGAGACCTCTGTTAGCAATGGCTGCTAGACTATGATTATGATTTTGGGCCTATAACCATGAGGAGTCTTTCCCGGTGGATATAATCCTTTTTAGGGTTCACACCTCCGAAGCTCATTATGCAGATTATGAGAATAAATTATATATAAAATGTTAAATATCTTGCCTAGCACATAATAGCTACTCAATAAATGTCTGTTGCTATTATTAATATTATTGAAGTATCAAAACCAAAACATACTGGAAGGTCATATTTAGAATGAACTAGCAAACAATACAATCTGTGAATTATTTTTTTAACATCTATTCAAAACATATTTCTGTTATATGCATAGAAATATATGCATATAAATATTCAAAAAATGCTTTGGAAGAAACAATGGCAAAATGGTGACTTCTGGGATGTTGAAAGGATAGTAGTCAAAGGGAACTTTGATCTGTAATGCTTTTTTTTTTTAAAGTACTTTTTATTCCTTCTGTAAATAAAATTAAAGTTTTAAAAAACAAAATAGAAAATAAATTTAGACAAAATATTATCTTAGTAAATTTCTTGAAGTCCATAGTTGATTTCAATATTATATGTAAAAGTTTACTTTTATTTTTAGTTAACTGTCCAAATGAGGTCTAAATATCCTTTTCTTTATTTAGCAATACCATTCAGCTTTATGGTAGACATCACTTTCAATAGTCTTCCTAATGATATTCCTAACTGCTACATTAAAAATACTTGCTTTTGCAAAATAAATTATTTTAATACCATTTTAAAACAATTCAATGTATTTATCAAGATACAGGGAGGCTTTCAAAGGCCAGAAAACCATAAATCAAAATGGCTTTACATAAAAAGATTACTTTTCCTCTTAAATTTTGTATGTCTTTATATTTAACACCACATACAGAAAACTGAATCCTTGATTCTTTTTAAAGCCAAAGGGTTGCCTATTTAAAATCATCCTAACAATTTCAAATGTCTTGAGGACTGCTTTAATTAAAAATGTCTCCATCTAGGCTCTTCCTAACTTCTAATTCTTGTCTGTAGCATACTGATGCCGGTTTTATGATTCTAACTTTCCTTGTAGTTTACAACCATAACTTTGACTTTTTCGTTCCATTTTTTTTCCCTTCAGATCGTCTAGATTTGAGCTTATAAATTTTGGGCAAACCAGGTCACCAAAGCTCTTATTAACTCCCTGAGAGCAGCAAATAGCACGCCTCCAAACATGGAGATAAGCCACATGCACCACAGGCCCAACCAGGCTGGGCACCATCAATTTACAAATCCAGCTTATAAATTAAAGGCCACTAGTGTTATAAAAAGAGATAGACATTTCAAAGGATGAGAGATAGAGAAAGCAACCTCCTACTGACCAGGAGAACATTGGGCTGAATAGGAAATCCCCACCTCAAAGAGCTGTGGGATACAGCTCCTGATTGTGGAAGGCTATAGATTCTCTTTTAGAGATATTTAAAATTCAAGAAGGCCCTTTTCTGTAAATTAATGGAGGACAGTATTGATCAAAAGATATTTCCTATGATTTCAACTTAAAAATTCTATTATTTCGATTTAATAATTTTATTATAATTTATAGCTAGTACAAGGCAATTCCAATAATTATAAGATAAGCTTTATTTCTAGACAATAAAAAAATATGTATATACAATTTTTTCTCCTAGCTGCTCAGATATGGATTCATTAATATTAAGCTGCTCTACCTACAAAAATGTACAACAATGGTTCTTCCAGTAGATGACTCCCTTAATTCTGTAAGTCTTAACTTAGCACCGTACTTAGAATATGAACTCTGGAACCAAATGCCAGATCCACTACATACTAGTAATTGTTATTGATTAAGTAACTAGACTGCTCTGGGCCTAAGTTTATTGGCTAACATTAACACCTACTTTATAGGATTACTGTAAGGATTACATAACTTGTTATATGAAAAGCACTAGAATTGTGGCTGACAGAAAGAAAGCATTGTAAAATTCTTGGCTATTGTTATCATCCTTAACATCAGAAATGTACAGTTCTTGGAACATAACTTTAAGGACAGCTTACTACAATCATTGAAGGAACAGGTTCCTTGACACTGCCTTAGTTCCATTCTTAGAACATATTCAAAGTCCCCTGCATCAATTTCTGTTATGCATTCTAATGATTTCATCCCTCGTATGACTCCATGAACCCTGTGCTCTGGTTACTCATTTACTCCTCTCCTCTGGACTATAAATGTCTTGAAAATAGGGACTGTATCAACAGATTACCTTGTAGTCTCAACATCTAGTACATAGCCTTATATAGAGTAGACATTGTATAAAAACTGAATAAAACAATAAATATTAGCTATTTACCTGTTTCTCTCACTCAAGTTAAGTTCCTAAGGACAGAGGCTACTGAATGTTGATCTCTGCACCCTTAGAGAGGTCTTCTTTGTATGGTGGCACTAATACCTATATTTTGTATCCAAGTTTCTAATTTGTTTTGAATTTTATTTGGATTTATTCATAATGCTTTATTTACTAAAATGAAATGCATTTAGAAATGAAACAATTCTCTTTTTTCCCCCCCGAAGCTCTGGATAGATAGGTAAATAAAACTTTTCAATTATATTTTAGTCCTCAAAGTGATGACAACAGAGAGAAACAACCAATGTCCACTGCATGATCTTTCCCATGCTGCTCTGGCTGGAGCCTTTGTCAGTGGCCCATACTCCAGGACTTAACCAGAACAAAGCCTTTCCTCAAAAAGAGTCACCATTTGATTGCAGTACAGATTTTATTCAGTCAGCACTGTTTCCTAGCTCTTTCACAATTATGGCGTGGCATTATTTCAAAATTCCTTCTGCCCACCAAGCTTGTGACCATGCCCAGCTGAGCTTATGACAAACAGCCACCTTGAGCAGCATTCTATTGCTGATTTCAGGGCTGGCAACCTTTTCACCACTTATGAGCTCATCAACGAAAGATCTTCAGTGGGACCTTAAATCTGGTGTTTGACTACTACCCACAGTGGGGCTACCTCCCAGCATCCTCACTCCCAAGACATGCACATATCCCAATGAAAAAATGTAGATAAACACCTTTCTCAGTTTTCTCAGGGGAAAATAGTGATTTAACATTCCTCTGAGTCATTCTATTACCAGATTACTTCCAGGTGTTATAATTGGGCCTCTTGACTACAACATGTCACTTAGCTAATATTAGATCAGAGTATAAATACACAAGTCACATATGATCCCTTCTTCTAATTATCCTTACTCAAAGTAGTAAGATAAGTGACTTATTACTCTTAACTTTACAAGATGAAATTAAGCTGATTTCTTTGCTTAATGACATCTAAAAATATGCTGTCAAATTAAAATGTCCTTGCTATCCCTGGTGCCCTGGTCAGTCAAAGAACTTTAAGGTTAGAAAGGATCTTAGAGAGTCCCCTTCTTCTTTTAATATATCTAGCCTAAGGCCCAGAAAAGTTGAGGGTTTGCCATGGTCTCTCAGTGTCTCTCTCTCTCTCTCTCTCACTCTCTCTCTCTCTCACACACACACACACACACACACACACACACAGCCGAAGCTAGAACAAAGGTCTTCCTGCCTCCTCAGCCCATGTGCTTTCCATACACCACACTAAATAAGTTTCTTGCCAAGAACTCCATCCTAATCCACAGTCTTGGAGAGGCTGTTCTCATTCTCAGTTCCAACTTACTCCCTACAGATCCTGGTAGTCTGTGAGAAAGACAAGTCTCCCATCTCTAAGAATAACCTAGCAAACATCACTGGGTTTTTTTGTTATTTTTTTAAAAATCTTCACCCAAGAATATTTTTCCATTGATGTTTAGAGGGAGTGGAAGGGAGGAAGGAGAGGGAGAGAGAGAGAAAAAACAACAACATCTTCTGGGATCGAGACTGCAATCAAGGTATGTGCCCTTGACTGGGAAGTGAAGGGTCCGAGGGCCATTAGAACTACTGCTCTAATCCAGTAGTTCCCATTGCGCGGCACATGCCCCACAGGGGGCCAATTTGACACTTAAGGGGAGAATTTGAGAATGAGTTATTAAAGTGAATTTTTTTTAAATATATTTCATTGATTTTTTACAGAGAGGAAGGGAGAGAGAGAGAGAGTTAGAAACATCGATGAGAGAGAAACATCGATCAGCTGCCTCCTGCACATCTCCTACTCCGCATTTTTTATGCTTTCTTGGTGCACCCTCTAGTGGTCTTTGTGCGCAGTCTTGTTCTAGTTGAGCCTTGATTGTTGTAGTTAATACTAGAGGGATTTGACCACCAGGCCGACTGGCTGTGTGAATCAGCTGTGTCTGCCGCGGAAAACTTCTGTCCTCTGGGGAGGTGCTAATCTAGCCTTTGCCTGAGGCGATCCGGCAAATGGCTCTGCGCAGGGCTTGGGCGGGGCGGGCTCAACAGGGCGGGCGGAGGGAGCCGTTATGGTGCCCTCAGTCCTGTTCCCAGAGGCTCTGCTTCTCAGAACCCCCGGAACCGCTGCAAACCTCGGAGGGAAAGCTGCCTTCCAACTGATGCCAGACACTCCCGCTTCTCCCGTTTGGGT